ATCATTACTCTCCAAGCGCTTTCTACCAAATCAGTTACTGTATAAATAGTAGCTTATAAGCTATGAGTTAATATTTTAACAAAAGCACTTACCTTTTGAATCCACTCATTTTTTTAGCATGTAAATGATGAATAATTGTAACGTAACATGACAATCTACAACTAATACAAAAAGGAAAAAAAATACTAAAATTGTTTTCTTTTTATTATATACCTACATACATCAATAAATCTTAATTCTAATCAAAATATTTTCATGTCCGTATCAATAGAAAATTTGAATATTATGATTAGTATGTATTTGATTGTCCACAAATTTTATTTTTTTATGCCAAACACAAACTATTATATCTTATTATGCTGCTCAAATAAGGTATTTCCGTAATAAAATAGCTATGAATTTGTTTTCGTTCCTAACCCATCTTAGGAGAAGGTCCAGCTTAATTAAGCGCACACTTGTGTTCCTCTTAGAAATTTTAATCAAACTCACTGTTCGCTTATGAATCCTTCTATTGGCAATAATTTAGTTATTTATTAACCGATTTCAATGATTTTCGAAAGAGTTTATGGTAGAAAAGCATTGAACTTTTCCAACTTAAGACTCGATGCACGTCTTGTCACATTATTGGATTGATCTAAAACTTCATATTTAGAAATTTTCTTTATATTCAAACAATTTCAGGGAACCGTACACACTCCTTAGTTCAATACTTTCTACGATCATCTCAATCCATTTATTGACTTTTCAAAAACAATCAATAAACAGTAAGTACTAACCAAACTTTATAAAAAAAATTCTGAACCAATTTTAAGCATTTTCATTAATATATCTAGATAATATTTTGGTCTAATTTAAAATAAATAATGGTAATACTTTTAAAGTTTTTTGAGTTTTTATATTTTTTATATATTTTAAATACAAATGGCTTTTCGTAATATACTATAAATCTACACAAATTCTCATTAATGTATGAGACGTGCGATTTCTATATATATTTTAATTTATGACAATTAGTAACTTTCAATGTTTCACAATTAGATTATATTGAGACATTAAAATAACACAATTCAATCTTTAAAATTTATTTTATAAACATTATATATTCCTATATTTCAGTGTAATATAAAATTGTTATTATTTTCTTATGACATTTTGATTAGAACTTTATTAGGCGTTTTATAAAAACAAGGTTTAGCAGTTAAAATATTAAATACAATTTAAATATCACTTAAAAAAGAAAACATAATCAATTTGTAGTTATATCTTATTTATAAATTGCTAAAATAAAATAATTTTTGTTAATATTTCAAGTTATTTTTTTCAACAAAATTTTATAATAATCTATTAGTAAAAAATAAATTGTTTCAAAAATTGCTTGTTTTTCATTTATTTATTTTACAATTATTCAATATTTAGGCACAATTATTGCTTAGTTTAAAGAGTTCAATGGAACTATTAACCAAAAACCGACTCCAAAAAAAAATTTTTTTTTTTCATTTCATTATAATATCTTCGTTTGTTTACTAATATTTTAATTATTTGTTATAGTTTTTAGGATTCAATTTCATTTTTTGCAGAGTAAGTCAAAATTTTTTCTTTCGCTTTCTCTTGCTCATCTTGGAAGAAAATTTTTGTAATAACAATATCACCAGTACTAAGCGTTTGTGAAGTTGCTTCCACCATTTTAATTGATTTCCTTTCGCCACCAGTACGGAGTAAAGGTGATGAAGTACGCTCCAAATTGCAATTGCAATTGCAATTTTTCGAACTGAAATGAACAACAAAGTATTAGGAGTAATTAATCCATATTAGGTTAATAGAAAAAAGTTCCTACTTAAAGTTTTCAAACGATGAACTTAGTTATGTATTCCTCAATCAGTAATATATATAAAGGGGCAAATTTGAGGCTCAACACATCTTTAGGATATGTTTTTCACTATATATAATATGTTTTATTTTAATAACGGTTTTTATATGAACTTTAAATTCACTACTATAATCCCCAAGAACAGCTGGGTTTACGTCCCGGAGTTACTCGTTTGCAGGGACGACCAAGTGCCGCTTAACACCTCCCAAAGAAACTTTACAAGCAGGACCCGGTGGGTTACTACAACAACAATAACCACGATCCCCTATTTGAAATTATCTATGTTTAAGACCACCTCAAACTGCGTGCGGTTTGATCACTAAATCACATCAAGTTTTTAAAAGTTTTTTCTTTGCATTTTGTCTCCTATTCCCTTTAATTTTTACTATATAGACAATTATTTACATATTTTAAATTATAAGCTAAATATGTTTAAATATTTTAAACGTATAGATTTTTACTAACAAAATAATACAGTTTGAATAAAAAATAAATTCTGAAATCTAAGATTCAATACTTATACAGTTATAAGTATATAATTATATTCAGTACTTACTTCTTCGATTTTTCTCTTATTATTTGTAAATTTTCTGTTGTAGCAATATTTGAACCCAATTGATCTTGAACACTATTAGATGATATGATCTAATAATAAATAAATAAAAGAAAATTTAGTAAATAAAATAAAATAGACTATACTTTTAAATTTACTTGATCACTCGGTAACTGTGTTACAGCTGATAGTATCGCCTCAAGTTTATCAATTTTAGCAACTCGATCCATTGATTGATCAGATAATATTTCATCCATCATTTGCATTGACTCAGTCAAACTTGGTGGTTCCGAATTAAAGCGTGGTGAAAAAGTTCCACTTAACGAATTATCAGATGGCAAAGAATCAAGACTGGGAAAATTATCATTTTCGTTGGGTTCTTGTTCTTCTTCGGAATCACTTTGCTCTCTATACAGTTAAAACAAATCATAAATAATAAATGAATAAACTTATATTTTTAAGAATTTACCTATTCTGATTGCCAACTGATTCCATTTTCTCTAACTTTTTAGCAACTTTATAAAAGCCCTTTAGTCGTTCCTTTTCATCTTCTGTTAAGTCCATATATCTATAACACATTTATACGTTTGGATATGAATAATACATAAAAGGATGATCTGATATAACATACCTTAATAAACGTATTTCTCGATTGGAAAGCACAATACTCTTATTTGTTTGAGCTAGCTTCTGCTTGAGGTCAGATACTTCGGTACTTACTTTTCGTTGTTTTTTACGTATTCTTACTTCGTTTGGTTTTATTAACATAAGAATTTGTTCGGTGCACAATTCGGAAAATAAAATACGGTTTTCAGACTTAATTTGTCTAAAGAATATTTTTTATAATTTTAAAATTGCCTTCAGAGTAATTAATAAGTACCTCGCTAAGTTTCCGTATAATTGATCGTTTATTAATACTAGCACATCGCCGGCCGCATATAGCAACATTTCACGAGTCAACGGTCGTTTCGCCCAATATTTTTGATCTCGGCGATAAATTTGTTTTAATTGCTCCTTAATAGGATTGATTGGTGCATTATACTGTTCGCAAAGAGAATTTAGTGAAATGTATTTTGCTTTATAAACCTGCTTGCCATTCTCTTGATATTGTACGACGGCATGAGCAGCCTGAAAATAATTAGGAAAATATTAAAAATGTTTAATACAAATTTACAATTATAATTACTTGCGTATCAAAAACATTTCTCAACAATACTCCGAACTGTAAATACAAATTTACGGAATCATTCCGACAATCATGTATCACTTTAATCACATTCTCATGTTCAAGTAAATTTTTTAATCCGCCATCAGTTATCATCTCAGGACAAGCACGAACATCAAAGATAAAAGCTTCTCCGCGAGTAGTTCCTATTTCTATTAATGTAATCTCACCTTTAACACCCAGATTAATACCCTCACAATCTAGCGAAATTACAATGCTTTGATTGTTCTGCGCAAATTTTAGCATTGTCTCCGTTACGAAGAGTGATTGCTTAATATTGGCTATGACACTGGTGTTTTGAAGCACTTTAATTTTCCATGTATCGCCGACAAAGTAATAGTGGCTTGGGGAATGGTTTGCAGACGAGGATAATGAAGTATTGCTCAAATTCGCATTGGAATGCACAGGACTAGAGTGAGTAGAATTTTGTAAATTATATCCAATGTTAGCCGATTGATTGGCTAATTGTTTATCTTTTTCATAGTTTTCGGCTAATGTACGAATTACTAAACTATTGATTCGTTGTTTTAAAGTTTGATTAGCGCTACTTAGCCGTTCCGTTGGTGAAAAAGATGGAGAATTAGAGTTTTGAGAATTTATTTGAGAATTTTGGGGTGACTGCTGTTGTTGATTTTGATTACTATTATTTAAGAGACCATACGATGAGGCTAAAATTGGATTTGGGCAGTTTTGTTCACAAAGATTCTCCAGTTTTAACTCTGACATTGGAACATAGTTATCAAATCCAGAATTGGGTTCTGAACGTGACTGTAAAACATCACTATTCTCTGTTATGTTTGACACTGGAGCATTAATTTTAAAATTTGGAGAAAAAGTATTGTTATTAATATTATTAATAATGTTTCCATTATTTCGAGATATTTGTTGGGTATTATTGTTTTGACTGTTGTTGCTTACATTTCGGGATACTGATGATAGCAAACGCTGTTGCAATGCGCTTACTGGTGGCAGTTGCTGTTGCTGTTGTTGTTGTTGAGATTGCAATTGCGAATTGTTATTCATTGCATTATATTGTTCTCGTGATTTCGCTTGCGCCTGTTGTATGTGAGAATCACTGAGTTTTGGTTTTTGCAGTAAAGTGACTAGATTTGCTTGTATGTGAAAACAATCTGAAAATAATCTAAGAAACGTCGTTAAATCCCCAGGTGTTTTAAACATACGTAAGCATTGCTCATGTGGAAATTTTGTTGTAACCAATTGATATAAAGAATCTACTAATATAGGACCTTTTATTTCAATACATTGCGCTAAAAAGTCAAGTATCTGTTGAGTCGCTTTAGTATCAATAATAGTCTCCGGCAAATGTAAACGTTCACTTGGCGGTAAATCTTTCATATCTTCACAGCCCACTAAAACGACATGATCATCTACAACTTTAAAGGTGTCAGGGTGTTTGAGTAAAAAATCCGTAAATTCTTTTATATGTTGACCTACAATTAAAATTTACTTATTTAAAAAAAAAACAATCATTTTTTTCGACAAACGGTTACCCGATATATGACGCACTTGAGGTGATGCTTGTGAACGATGTCCTAAAAGACTTCTTACCGGCACTTCAACCCCAATACCATATAGTAGCATTTTTTTCTTAAAATATTCTTTAGCCTCTTTAATATAATCCCGTCGACCTCCAAGAGTACCATCATCCGTCAGACTGTTTTGGTACGAATTCACTTGAACATAATCACCATCAACCAAGAAAATTGATGGATACTGAGCTAAAAATTTTTTCAAACCTAAGAAGTCAAACAATATAGGTTAGTTATTTTGAATCATTGTTTGTATAAAAGTTTATATAGAATAAAAAATTCTCATTTAATATTGTTATTAAGTTATTTTGTTTAAAATAACATATATATAGTACAAAGTCGCTATATTAAGTAAACCCATCTGGCAACACTGCAATTTTAACAAGGTGAGAATAGTAATGATAGCAAGTCTTTAAAACTTCAGTTCTGATATGATCATCGGACCATGCGTATGTGCTGGTGCGATCATCGGACAAGTAGTCAACTTCAAAAAATTCAATGACAAAACAGCAACCGTCAGTCGTCCAGGTGCGTTACCGGTCTATGAAAACGAATTTTTGATGTAGATTGGCATAGCACCTTATTCAACTCGTGTCACAATCGATTTTTTGAAGTGATTGGTCAAAAAATGGACTTTTTTTCTGGGGCTACTTGAAGTAAAAGTTGTATTTCATCAAGCCAAGGACGCTAAACGAACTTAAGTTTAATGTGTGCAATAGCCGCCTTAGCTACCGAACCATAAGCATATACGATTGAAAATGTCAAAAAAAAACGGACTCATTATGCCATTTTAGCTAAAAGTAGCCACTTGCACGATATAATCTGTTCCTCGTATCATGAAAGTGATGTAATCTCGATAAACAAAGTTAAATGATTTTTTAAATTGAACAACAGTATTTTTTTTCATTTTTTTTTTTGTTAAGTGAATCTACTTCACCAAATACAAGTATAGCAAACACAGTATTTGCTATTTCTTTTGGTATGCAATGTACTACACACATGTACTTTCTAAATGTGATAAACTTAAAAGATGTTGTCTTGATACTAGTAATGAAATAAGTTGTATAAAAGATACAGGATAACCCAAACGCTTCCCAAAAATACCTTACTTTATTATTATAAACTAAGGCATATCCTAGTCTAAATTTTTAAATTTTTTCAGATTTGTATTTTTTTATGTAGTAAAAATGCTCCAATCTAATTGGACTGATTTTTTTAATTCTTTAGCAGTTGCTTTAGGTATTTGCAAGGACTCCTAGCTCAGGGTTTTTATTTATACCAGGTTATAACATATGGGTAGCCAAGCATTATCATGATGAAACAGAAAAGTTTTCCTCTTGCTCATTTCGGACACCTATTAATCAAATCTATAACTCTATCGCAGGAATTACCGGCAGTAGAGAATCGAAGATTATAGATTGCATGAGATAAACATGCATTTTGACACAACGCGAAGCCGGATAATCACAAGAACATTATCCACATGATCACCGGCTTTTTCAGTGAACAGTCGAAAGTGAACAAACTATTTTCCGATAGTTAAGTAGAGTTCAACACTCTAGTCTCTAACTACAGGACAAAATAAAATTACATAATTTGTTCTGGTAACTTTAGAGCATTACAACAGGTAATAGATATTTCCGAATGGAAATACTAATATTTGTATCAATAAGCGATTTTAAACCAACTTCTTTGTCTTATTAGTAATACTAACCCCAGAGAAAATTGACGTCTAAGTAATGACACCAAACACATAAGCATTAATAAGAATAATGATGTCGCATTTGTGGCATAATTGAAACTTATTTTGCTCTATTTAGCAGACGATAACCACTATATCGTACTAAGAAAAAAAAAAAAGAATTACCAATCATATCATTTTCTCTAAGGCTAAAATAGTATAAGAATATCTAACACATCTGACTTATATAATCTATAATGAGGTAATTTAAAACAACTTATATGTGTCATTTGATTGAAGTGGATTTAAATAAAAATAAATTTAAAAAATCTATTTTATTTATATCAGAAGAAAGATTATTGTAAACCACCTGGTTACGCGCTCTGCCAACTTCAATAAAAACTAGCAACGATCAAGGTGTATAGTTTTCAGTGTATAGTTTCTATTTACGAATAGCATTCGGTGAGCATCAAAATTCGACTATTTTTGAAGACATTAATAATTGACAATGAAATTACGGATTAATAGGTGCAAATTCTCAAATTCCCGGTAGAGTCGGAACTGACTTCCAGAAGAATCAAGCTGTATATTCAGAGAGATCAACAATATAATTTGTTGAAACTTGAACAAAACATCAATTTTTATCTGTACTGTTAACAATATTAGTTAAATCACTTCAGGAAAAGTAGACAAAATTGATCAACTGAAAGGAAGATACAAAATATTTCTATGTTGACTCGGTAAAAATTTAGAAAGTTTAAATGGATTGGAAAATTTTTATATATTCACAATATATTGTAAATCTTGCACTATTCGACTAAAATATTATAAATTTATATTTTACTTTCCATAAATGTAATAAAAAACAAAAACCTCTATTTAAAAAAAAACCCCCTTTTTGGCTCAAATTTAATATTACTAAAAATATCCTTACACAATTTATGAGCTAAAATATAAAACACCATAAAATGGAAAGATGCCTTCATAATATTGTAAAATATGGATTACGTGGAAGGCAAGAAAAAAATTGCGGCCAAATAAGTGTATAAAAAAGAACTTTACTACACATCTATCTAACGAATTAGGAAGGGTAGCAGAAGTTGCTCTTGCAAATATAGCCTAATTATTTATGTAGAAGCTTCCTTGAGATTAAGAATGTTAATAAAGTCAAGTGCACAACTACTTTTCAGCTTTACCTAATATATTCAGTGACGTATTGAATGGGAATCAAGGGGATAGATTCGTTTAACATTATAATCTAAACATAATAAGAACTACACAAATATTAAAAAATCCTATGCTTACGTTAAAAATCCAAAATTCAAATGACTTACGTTTTATCCAATTCTTATTCGGCCCGAATAATCGAATATATGTTTTTTAAGAGATAGAAATGGTCAGCTAATTAATTACAGCATAACTAAGTCATCCTTCAATAGATTGAAGGATTTCAATCTATTTTCTTTCGGGTTCAAACTTTAGATAAATTTGTTCAGACTTCTACATTCGATTATAGTTAATAAAGCTTAAAAACATCTACATCCAATGTAAACTTTGGAAAAAATAATTTTGAACAGATGGCCGCAACTCCGATTTTCCGGGTGCAAATCTGATTTTCCGAGCCCTTATTAAACAGATTTCAATACTATATATTACATTTCAATATTCTGATATACCATTGTTCTGGAAACATTCGGCTAAACATAAAGGGCGCCAACAATATTGCACGTCTTTTTGTAAGCTGAAACGCATGGTATTTTTCTGTTTTTGCAATCAATATAAAAAATTACAACCCGATATAGAAAGAACCTTACTATTTTAATATATTGTGTGATGGCGAAAGTTCTTCAGAATATTAAAATAAAATCTTACTAACAGATAAATTAAGCAAAAACATTGTATAATAATATGACATAAAACAAATTATCAAAAAAATTAATTTAACACTGCTTCTCTTAATTTTATTTTCCTAGGTGTAGCAATGGACGTCCAGGTATACGCTATTAAAATATATGCATATATTTTGTATTTTGTATAGGGTATATTACAGGCCCTATAATCAAATATATTATATTAAATTAAATTATTTGTTTAATTTATTCAGATCATGTATCATTTTACTGGCTTCTAGTCTATTTTGGTATCTAAATAAAATTAGAATATAATAGAATTGTAAATACACATATGTATACATATATATGTATAGGTATATATATGTATATGTCATTTTTATTAATTTGTCTTATACAATAATTTTCTTTAATTAATACTGCGCCAAAACCAAACTTAGTGAAGATGTTCGATAACATAGTTTTTTATATAAGCTACCACCACCCATGTGCCCTAAATTTATTGCAATTGGGTTTGTTATGTAATTTATTGATTTACGTGCCTACAAACATGGATGGTACGAATTATAAAGTTTAACCAAAACAAAAATATTTACTGCACATAAAAACTAAGTTAACTACGGCACGCAATTTTGTACGTGAGCCCTTCTTTTTATTTTCAAAATAACTAACGTTCATATGCATTGGGACTGTATATATATTTACATAATGATGTGCTTTGAGACTATGTAAGACTAAATATTTATAAAAAAAATCTTAATATTTTCTGCACAAAATTGGGTTTTGCATGTAAAATGTGAATATACATATGTACAACATACATATGTACTTAACTATATAAAAGTATTAATACTTGTGTTACATCTAAAATATTTAAAATTATTCACAAAGCTTTAATAATAAATATTGTAAAAGAAATTAGAAGTAGTTGAGATTAGGGATTCAGAGAATCCGGTTACATGCTGAAAAATTCTGTATCTTGACCTCGTGCCCTGCCAAATTTTAAGCTTAGAGTCAGTGTTCATTAACCAACTGACCCAAAGTGTTTTGTTAATTTGGAATGAACTTATTAACAAATTCATTTGCTGTATTGTATTAGAATAAGGTTATAAAGCAGCTAATTATTTATGAACTAATTATTTATATTTTTTTATTTTTAATTGTTAAAATTCCATACTATATCTTTGTATATTTCTCTCGTACACAGTCTTTTACTTATTAAAAACATTTTAATATTTCTTTTTTATTATCAATTAATAAGAAACTATTATAATAATAATTTTCTTTTTTTTAATTTATGAATAAAAAAATTTAATACAATTGATTATGTTATCATTTGGAACTAAAAAAATTTTATCTGCTTTTATTCATTGGCCAGGGCTAATGGGATTACTAAGTTGTTTTCATTTGCACTATCGTTTTCCATTTTGAGTTCATTTCAATGCACAATTATATTGTTTTCATAAACAATATAAAAACACAAAGTTGACTTTTAAACCCATTCAGTTGATTCGGTGAGGTTGAACACAATTATTAAACAAATTTAATGTGTGAATCCAGACATAGCTTAGTTAATTCTACATATATTTGAGTAAAAGCAATATATTATTGAAAGCCTTTCCTTATTATGAAACCTAAAAAATTGTCATACTTAACTGTGATTAAAAAAAGAAAGGCAAGTATCTACCTCTACTTACTCTCTTGTCAACTTAAGATAATAAAGTAATATTAATAAAAATTGTAGCGGAATATATTAAAAAACATATCACATAATATGTTTATATATATTGGTTCCCGTGGATCCCTTGAGGAGCAAAGGGCCATACAAAATATATTTTACAAGTATATAATAATCAAATAATAAGATTTAATACTACAACTCTGAATTGTAATTCTTATTTACCTTTAGTTTTGCGATTAATATACATTGTAAAACTCAAGGTATATTTATTTTTGCAATACATAATTTGAGTAAGAGATTTAAGCCATTTGTTTATAAGACCTATAGGAATTAACGTTGTATCTGTACTATTTCCTACTCAACTCGTTCAAACATACTATATTACCTATAGTAATATTATTAATGTTTGTAACTATTTGAAAAAAAAATATTTTGTAAAGGCCATGTTATGTAGAGTGTCATGCGCTCGTCAAAATTGTCTATTTTGGACTTTGACGAAAATGCATGTTATGCAGAGTATCACAGAAATTGTAACAATTTGCTTTTAAAAGATACAAAAGTTGACATTTATTACTGAATAACACTGCTTTGGCTAAGTGCCGAGGCACAGATATACTCGGTTCTCATGACCAAATTATAACCGTGATTTTGTTTTTCTCTCACTCTCAATTTTATAATTTGCATTGAAAACAACAAGTATGCTCATGACTAGCTTATGACACTCTACATACCACGGGCCATAGTTGTAGTAAGTTCTTGACGTTGAAAGTTACCAAGTAACCAAGGTTAGTTCCATCATGAGATCTGATAATCAAAAAATATGAATTGCTTAAAAAATTTCAATTTGTATTCAAGATTAACAACATACGATATTCGCATGGAAATCAAAAAGCTGTTACAAAAACAGAGAAAAGCATATTAATAGATTTAGTTCTATTTCCCAATATATTCCCATTGCAATTCGGTACTCTTTATTCTATATTTCTCTTTCGTTTTAATTTGAAAATGATTCATTAAATTCCTTTAAATACGTCTTTATGTCTTCGATTGGTTGCTTTCTGGTGGTAAATTTCAATCCACTTATTTACTTGACCTCATTACTGAAAGTATAAAAGCTATCCTCAATGTTACATCAAAAAAATGGCTAAAAAAATATTAAAGTTTTTTTCTAATCTAACTAATAATTTTTTTGCTATTATTCGAATTTTTCAATTATTATAAACATTAACTTTTTCTTTACTGTACTTTTGCTTTTTCGATCTATAGGATGTCGATCTATCTTTTCATCAGCAAGCTAAATTTGCAATTTAAGACTTATTCGAAACTTCACCGATCTATTAAAAGTTTAAATCGAATCGAATCTATAATGGATAAAATCAGTTGAATATATTTTGAAACGATAACGCAAATTTATGGCTGGATACGACCATATTTAAAAATATGTTTTTGCATTGAATTTTACATGAAAACTCCTAAATATAGATGAAAATATATTGGGAATAGCCAAAGCTAACGATTTATTTTCTTTTATACTAGATTAGCACTATAAAAATTAACTCGTTTGATAATAAATGTCATTTTTAAATAAAATGGATACAACAATGAGCTAGAGGTTCAGTAATTATATGTACAAACAATATTCTTGAGAGAATAATCAATTTTTCTTGATAGAAGTAATTTTAATCCATAAACCTCTGAATGCCTGTCAATGCGCCCCTCAAAAAAGCAAATCAACTGAGACAACACTCAATAGTAAATTTGTTTAAACGCATACTAGTTTACAGAGAAATCAATATATAAAGGGTTTCCTAGACAAAGAGAATGTATTCCACAACACTATCTATGATACAATAAACGGTGCACTCTCAGGATACAATGTGCCATTAATGGATAACATTATTGTTATCCATCTAGCCTGCAAAGAACAACATATAGCAAAAACAGTCAGAGATTGTCCTTCAGGTAGTATGCTATCACCAATATTATAGTCATTGGTCATAAATAATCTAATCCAATCCCTCACGGATCTGGAATATGAAGTTTTTACCTGAGAGATTACTTAGCAATAGCTGTTAAAGAAAAATGGGGACATATTCTATCTCACCTGCTGTAGACCTCATTAACAGTGGTTCAAAACTGATCTGCTACTATTATACTAGACAGAGAGAGTTGAGAAGATAACACTGAACAGAAATCGGGATCGGCAATCTGCAACTCCGAAAACTTTATATCAGTCAGGCTGACTATCACACACAGACTATAAAAATCTATGGTAGACATCGACTAAAAGAAAATTTAAGACACAAAATAATTTTTATGTCAAACTGTCAGGCTTTATGCCCTATGTTATTAAATTTTTATGCTCTATGTTGATAAAATATATACTGGTTTAGAAGACAGTAAATGTCTTACAAACCTGGCAACTACGAATCAATATTATACTGGAGATTATACTGGATATAATAATTTTGAAGGAAAATTTGATGGCAAAAAAGTGGATAAATTAGCCAATTCATGGAGCAAACAAGAATCACTTCATAAGTCTGATCAAATTGGACTTCACTAATTGAGTTAACCATAAGTGGTTTAACTATACAAAACTCTTCCAGAACTACTCACAGAAAAGTGCAAATATATCTTAAATTGGAACAGATCAGACTAAAGTGATAACCGCAGATTAAAGTGATAACCGCAGTGATGCTTTCTAAATAAGCATGCGGTGTGGTTAGGACTTTCACCAACCAACGAATGTACACTATGTATACAAAAATCTTTACATATTCTTGGAGTATGGCATGTTTTTATAGAATATAAGGGAAGTTTTTAAAAAGAATTGATCCACGAATCAGAGTGGCCAAACATCGATTTTGAAAAGATTAAGACTTTTAAGATTAAGACTGTATACAACTGAAGTGAAAGAAATCATTCGATAATTTAGGATAGAGTAGGATGCAATAGTTCATTAATGGATGCAGTGTCACAAATAGCTAAACTTCGGCCCACCAAAATACAATACAATACAATTTCCAAATAGATTAGTCTGTTAATAATCTGAATAATAATAGTTACCAGATTGGCTTCCTCCAGCAATTTGACGCATTTCCTTAGTAAATTCTTTGTTTCCAAATTGGCACGATAGATCATGTACAGTGCGTGGCTCACCTTTGTCCAGCAAACGCTCTAAGAAAAACAACAACGTCATGTTACGTGCCATTTCATACTCCATAGATTCCATTTTCAGTAAGGCAAAAATCACAACCTGTGTGTAAATAGTTTTTTGCTAAGCGTAAAAAATTTTTTATTCTTCTCTTATTTTTCTAATTTTCCAGTTAAGAATATTTTTATCACGATTGCATATGAATGTTATCCGTTTATCTATAAGTTACTGTTTCACTGTTACGTAGTAGTGTTGTTGCATTCAGTTGCTTTTATCTGTAAATAAGAAATTTGATATCACATTTTAATTTTTGCCACCTTTGCAAACTGCAAATATGAATGAAATTAATTATGTAACCAATTTATTTAATTTAATTGAACATTACAATCCTTTTGGGAAGAGGAAAAATAAACTCCATATTTTGCTATCCAAAGAGGCGATATCTCACATATACTTTCAAACAATAACGGCCTCATTACCGATTCGCAATTTGCGAATCGAAATCGGTAAAAGCAACAAACAGCAACAAACATCAGCTGCTATAGCGGCGAAACCATCTTCGTTAAGTCCATAGATCGCACTTGAAAATAAAGCTCATAATAGACAATTGAAGGCAACAAATAAATAAATTGAGCAAAAATGTTAGAACGTTTAACATAGTTCATAACGAGAGAATAAAGAGATAAACTTTGTTTACGTAGAAAGATTTATTAAATTTTATATCAAATTTCATTAAATTAAATTGAAGTTAGAAATAGTTTTATGCATATAGAATTCATTTATGAATTTATTTTATAACAGTTGGTATTTTTTATTTACACACAGACGGGATCAAAATGGTTTACTACATGCCAACACATAACACTTGCATGAGTAATTTATCATTCTACAAATATTTCGTACTGAAAGTTAGTTCTACTCAGCCTAAGGTTAAAAAAAGTGTAAATTTTGTAGCAAATTTTTATAGGGCAAAAATTTAAATGTCATTAAATTTATTATATAGACTCATTCATATATCGTATTTACCTTTTAGTTTATTAGTTTATTAAATTATTAAAGTGTTGATTAAAAATATATATTATAAGTGCACTTATTTTATTATAGTTTGCTTTAACAGTTATAAAAAATCCGCAACGTTTATATCAATACTGTATTCTGTTTTATTTAATTTATGTAAATTTTGATATGTATGGAAACGTAATATTAGATACATGAACGTGAATAAATGCAAACCAATACGTCGTAATTATTCTGTCTTTTTTATTAATACCGGATTTTAAACCATATTTAAATAGTTTTGAATATTTATTATATATATATCACAAGAATTAAAAATCATTAAACAATTACTTCACATTTGCCCGCATTCTTAAAAAATTTATATATAACAAGTGAAATCTTACACGACTGACGGACAATTTAGTAAAGCAGTGCAACAAAAAAATAATCACAGCGAATTAAATTTCCCATATTCTGGGCATAGCTCGAGGAAATTTTCTTAAGTTTGCTGTACAACACTGGATACATTTGTTCGACAAACAAACCTGTCACTCATGTGTTTGAGGTTTCTGAAGTGATTTTATAATGATATAGTAAAACATGCGTAATTTTACGATATTTATTAATTTACACATACCATTATTACTTTTTAACATTGAACATTAACATTTTATAAAAGTTTGGTACAGAAATGTTTAAGGGTTATAGAATATTTAATGGTATTATCTAGCACTTTTACTTGGTTTGATACTTTTAGCTAACAGTTCTGTAAATTTTTTGAATTATTTTTTTTATTTATTGTTCTTCCTTGGTATTTGTTTTGTTATGTATATATAACTCTATTTATTAATGACCAAATTAATGGTCATTAAATAATATACAATGGTCATGTATAGATACCATACATATGTATACTTGCTTTTCCTGATATGATTTTCATTAAGGAGGGTAATTCATATGCAGTTGTATATTTTCAATGGACAACTTAATTAAATTAATAAACGAAATATTTAATATCTGGAAATATCATTTAGATTTATTTTAAAAATATATATATTCTTATTACCCTGGGAAAGTTTTTTCCTGCCTTTTTTCTCAACTTTTGAATTATACGCTATCACTCACATTGATTGCATTTTATTAGTATTGTGACTTTTAATTTCTATTTAAAGAAAGATTACCGTCATTTCTCAATTTTTTTGAAATATCTAATTTCTGTTCGATTTGATTATTTAAATGCGTAACCAACTACAACGAGAAAGATGTAAAAATAATTCGAGTGCGAAATAGAGCAATTAGCCGGGGACCAAACACCATTCCGATAAATGATAATGCAAATTGCTATATAAATTTCATCATTCTCAATATGCAATATATTTTTTGTTGCTAAAGTACAAAATTTAAGAACGTATTTCTCTTTTATTGAACCAAAAAATAGCGACGTTTCACATGATCCTGAAACGATTCAAATTAATGGCACTGTGTAGTATTATTTGAATGCTTTTTATTGCACCCTGCTGCATTTTATATCCATTTATTATCTGGAATTACACCTTCGCGGTCAACTTATTTAATAATCGCCATAATTATTAGGCATATCAGAGTTACAATACAATTAGTTGAAAAACTAATAAACTAAGTTTTAAGTAGACCAAGTTAGATTTCTCTAGAACTTAGAATGATTTTATTCTTTTTAGAGCAATCATGCTAAAGAGAGTTTTAGATCTACAACAATCCGACACGTTACGTGAACCCCGATGGGATCATTTTTTCAAAAATGAAACATGGATCTTCCAAACTGTGACTGTTTTGCAGTCAGAGATTACGGAGATCATCTTGTTCTAACAACAAAGACAAATACAATTTTCACAACGCTTACTTCAACTTGAGGGTGCGAGTTATCTGAAAATAGTCATTCTAAGACACACTAACGTAATGTGAGTTAGAGATCACATTCCGAATAGAACCTGAAACTTAGTAAGTTCCATACCACAATTGTATCGCACTGTCAGGCAATTAAGACAATCAATATAGCTCACGAAAAAATAATACCTATTTTCCATACCTTATTTAACTATGTCAAAAAATACATAAAGGATAGACCCCTGAAATTATTTACGAACACTGACAGCCTTTTACCAACACCGCGTTATCGAATCTTAGAATGGTTACATTCTCCTCGGGGAGGTATACAGATCTGAGATCAGTTATTGCTTAGTCTAATGAAGTGATAAATAATAATCCAGTCAAGGCGTAGAGAGAGGTTATGAAGAAACCTCACAGTTATAGAGAGTACAAATGCTCAAGTGCACTGACTCAACTAGTCTCAACATAATAATGTGTTTGTTCAATGCCAAAAAAAAAATTAAAACCAAATGGCATTCTCAAAATGAGTGGCAAGGCTTCATCTATCTGTCTAGGTGATCACAATTAAAACGAAGCATTATTCCAATTATACAAAATCATAATTTTCTATTTTTTATATACTTTACACACCGCTATAAAATTGTGCATGTGGCATGTTACCTTTTTGAAGGATCAAATTCTTTAAGAGGCCTATTAACATTCATTTCCATCGTTACTACTAGATAATTGGTTAAAAATTATTATATTCGTCTACTTTTGTGGCAAAAGTTTTCAAAAACTTCACTATAAAGTCTTGTATCAATACGAATTTTTTTAGTAGACTTTCTTATATTGAATACTTGCCTACTTGAATACTTGAATAGCTTCTCCTATCCCGTTGAGTTTCAGCCTTAATGATTGTATATTTCTAAAAATACTTGCTTCGCGATTTAATTCCGTCAATAATTTTTAAACAAAAATTATTAAATTAATAATTTAAAAAGTTAAATATTTCGACAACAAGAAATTAAAACTATGAACGTAATAGTGAATAAAAATAGCGATTGAAGATCTTGACTTAATTTATATCTGGTGATATCTGTAATATTCAAAAAACGCTGCTTAAATTGTCCTTCGTCGCTAACCAGTCTTATCACAGTAGACAGTTTAGATTGTAAGGATATGCCTAATGTCTCGTTCAATAAAATAGTAACACACTCAGAATCTGTCAATAATATTTTATAGAAATATTTCAAAAATAGTTGATTGAATGCTGGATTAATAATAAGTTGATTTATTTAACTGCCTTAAAAATTGACGATTCTTAAAAACTACTTTAGTGTAATAATTAAATGCTTGGTTTTTGATGATCTAACACCAAGTAATTCTTTGTTCACCAAATGTTTTGAAAGATAAAGTTTTATCTCTTATGTGTATTAGAGTTTTCTCATGTCGAACAATACCAGCACTAAAGTGACTTAAGTTACCAAAACTACGAAGAAACTGGACAGTTCTGTTAATCTCTCAAGCATATAGCTAACATGACCAACAAAACAATTTCTTGATTTTCTTACATCCCTTGACCCACTGATTTTTATTATATGCAGTCGTAGGAAAACACCGTTTTATCACTAATTTCGATATTTTTACTTCAGTCTGCAACTTCTTCATATCTGGAGTTGGTCTATTTAATTTATTAATCAACATTTTCTTTTAAGCAGATCTCATAAAATATGATGTTTTGACTATATCTTTAATTATACAATTATCCGATTTTAAATATTACTTTTCAAAGCTGCTGCAAGCGTAAAAAAAGAATTCTTATTCAGTCATTTTCTCCTTCCTTTTATTTTTTCTATACATATTTCGTAAGAGGTCTACTTTTTCATAAAGCACCTTAAATAGAAGAAATGAATACCATATTCAGTGAACACTCTGAATCATTCGACGCCTCGCACCAGCTTACAATAATCATGAACTGACCCTATCAGTGCTAAAATTTTATTTCGTGGAAACGTCATGTCTTGCTTAAACATTACTTATCTCCCTCGTCGAGTAATATTCTCCGACTTCCAAATATTCCTCTACATTCCAAAAATTTATAACAGAAAAATTCTTCAGTACAGAAAATTGAACAAAAAACTGAATTGATAAAATTGAGACCTCACCCTATTCAGCCTTCTTAATGCCTGTTTCAATATATGATAAATTGTAATCTATATCCGAACAAAGAGGTTAAATTTACCTAATTTCATACCCATTGTCTTTCAAATATGTTATTAAAGTCTGTAAAATCGTTAAAAGTTTATAATCGACACCCAACATTATAATTTTGATTCAGTGAAAACACGCTAATTCGAAGTGGTCAGAAGTTTAAATTTAAAAAAAATAATTAAGACGCCTGCAAAATAGTGAAAGTTTGTGATAGAAAAAATTAATAGATCTTCTTCACGAGTATAATGTTATCTGCTTTAAGGCATTTATATGTTAGTTATTTTTTAATAATAATTGTTATTTAAAAAGTGTTTAGTATTACTTTCATAAACAATTTTAGTTATTTGAGTAATATTAAATTTGAAAAATGTTTATAACTAATTTAAGTATAACTAAAAAAAACTGAATGAAACCACATATGATTAATGGTCCTTTACAAGCTTACCTCATTCTAGCTAATATATATCGAGGTTTTATAAAGTTGAAATATATGTTTTTTTACGTGTTTATAATTGCAATTATAATTTACTAAATTAAGTAAATGCTGACGATGTGTATAGTTTTTATATCAGTTGTTTATTAAAATAAAATTTTAAAAAATATCTTCTCAATATAGATTTTTAAAATTTTTTTTATTTTATATTTTGAGTTGGAATATATGCTGCTTAACAACCTATATCAATTATGACTTAATTTCGTCCATTTTTCGCTTACTGACCACAGCCACTTCCCTACAGCTTCATCTTCTGCAGCTGGTGCAACATTTTTTAAATTGCAATCACTAAAATATTTGCCTGTTACTTTTTCCAATTCAGGATCTAATGCAGCATAAAGAGTTGTTTGAGCACCGTTTCTGGCATTTTTTATAAAAGGCCAAAACAGAGGCTTCACGATTAACCTAAAATATTAAAATAAATGATAACTACTAAAAGAAACAAGTACTTAATATACCTTGCAAAAAAATTATTGAAAAATCCCATATGTCTAAAAAGTTCTGTGTCTACTACACCTGGATGCAAAGCATTTACTGTAACTCCAGTTCCTTTGTGTATACGAAATATTTTTAATTAATGTAAAATATTAAGGTGTTTGACTTGCCTTCTAATTTCTTTGAAAGTTCTCTTGTAAACAAAATATTTGCCAATTTACTCTGACTATAAGCTTTTCCTTCGTCATATGATTTTTCACTATTCAAATCGCCAACGCATATTTCTCCTCTTACGTGCGCCAGGCTTGATACAACAACAATTCTGCTTGGTGCAGAGTTCTAGAAAATAATTAATTAAATTTAATTAATCACATAAATATAATTTATACCAATATTATGTTCACCTTTAAAAGATCCAACAACAAATTTGTTAAATAG